AACGCAATGAATAATGTGGGGTGGCATGGCCTTTGTATATAGATGTGATATTAGGATGTAATTGATACTATGACATACAGGATACTATAATATAGTGGATTCATCTTATTTAAAGCTTAATTCCTGATCTCTCCTAAGTGAAACTCTATCTAGTCTTTATTTGCATCATCTTATATCTCAAATAAATGAATTTACATCAGTAGTTCAGTTAGCCTTAGTTTAACCATAATCAGAAATGTTTATTTATTTATTTTTATTTATTTATTTATTTTTGGAAATGTTTATAATACAAAGCAAAATGCAGGTGATTTAACAATGTCTGGTTATCCCTTGTTGAATAACAAACCTTTCCAAACTTAAGGGCATAAGAGAGCCACAGTTTTATTATTCTGTGGTCACAAATTTGGACAGCACATAGTGGGGACAGTTTCTCTCTCATCCATGGTGGCTGGAGCCTTGGGAAGATTAAACAGCTGGGGTGATTTAGAGAGCCAGGCCTGGCCCCCTACTAAGTCTCCTTTACTGACATGTTTGCTGTCAGCATTAGGATGATTTGAAAGCTGGATTCACCTAGGACCGTCCACTGGAGTGCCTATACATGGTCTCTCCATGCTACTGCCTTCTCAGAGGATGGCAGTTGGGTTTCAAGAGAGAATGTGCTAGAGGGAGAATTGTGAGAAGGAATGTGTGAAGAGCAAGCATTTACAGAAGACCAAATGTTAGTTGTATGGCTATTTTAAACTAACCTTAGGGGGGATCCTGGGTGGCTCAGTGGTTTAGTGCCTGCCTTCAGCCCAGGGCATGATCCTGGAGTCCCGGGATCAAGTCACACATTGGGCTCCCTGCGTGGAGCCTGCTTCTCCCTTTACCTCTGTCTCATCCCTCTCTCTTTCTCTGTGTCTGTCATGAGTAAATAAAGTCTTTAAAAAAATAAATAAATACACTGACCTCAGAAGTCATGTAGCATCATTTCCTCTATAGTTGATTAGCTAAAGACATTACAACCCACTGAGATTGAAGAAAAAAGGTATGAAGGAATTTGTGAGTTTGTTTGTTTTTTTTTAAAAAAGCAATAATGACATTTCAGGCTTAGAAATGCATTGGGTCTTATAGAATGAAAGAGACCCATCCTGGCTATTAGAAGGAGGACATAGGAATCCATTTTTATTAATTATAATTATCCTGGAAGTTTGGCCCCCATGTAACATGAGAGGAATACTTTGTTCTTATAATCTCTTAAAAATAAACAGAAATTATTTTATCTAATAACAAAAATCTGTTATCTGAAATATTTCTTGTCTTTATTTAAAAAGGCATGTAGTGTGACGTCTTCCCATTTTTGTCCTCCATTTGCTCAGTTCTTTCCCAACCACCCCCAAAGTAACAACAAAACAAAACAAAGCCAGGCAGCTGCTGCTTTCATCAAAGTTTTTGAAATCTGTCAGAGATTTTTATAATAATATGCCATTGTATGGACATAGCAGATTATTTAGTTGGTTCCCTAGTGATGAACATTAGGTTGTTATCTTTTGTCTTATAACCAATACTCCAGCAAGAGGACTTACTCATTCATAATTTCCCATAAGTAGGATTACATTCTAGTAGCTAAAGTAACAAGGTGGTATACGCACCTGTAATGTTGATAGCTACTGCTATATTATGGTCCTTAGGTCAATAGGTTAAAAACCCAATTGTGAACCTACCAGCAATGTAGAGAGTGCTTGTTTTCCCTTGGCTTTGCTATAAAGTATGGGATCAGATGTGTTTATTCAGCCACTCTGATAACTAAAGTACGGTAACTTGTGCATTTTTACTTTTCATCTTTCTTAAGCTTTTCTTCTGCCTAAGGGTAATTTTTCTTCCCTTTTCTATGAATGACTTCATATTCTTTGTCCATTTAAAAAATTAGATTGTTGGGGCACCTGAGTGGCTCAGTCAGTTGAGCATCTGGCTCTTGATTTTGGCTCAGGTCATAATTTCAATTTCATGGGATTGAACTCCATGTTGGGCTCCGTGCTCAGCATGGAGTCTGCCAGAGGTTCTCTCTGTCCCTCTCCCTCTGCCCCCCACCTCTCTCAAATAGATAAAACAGTCTTTAAAAAAAATTAGATTGTTGCTCTTACCTACTTTGAGGAGCTCTTTGTTATTCTTGTTTTTGCTTTAGAAAAAGTTTTGGGGGTTGGGGAACTAACTGTGGGTAGCTGAAAGGAGGAAAAACTAAGATACTAAAAAAAAGAATAGATATTAAATAAAATCATGCCGTAAATTGCCTGGCTCATTCAGTTACAGAAAGTAGGCTTTCAGTGGTTGATTATATCTAAAAATTGGTAATAAAATCTAAAAGATTAAGGAAAAAAACCCAAGTCACAAAGCAGCATTAACGTCCCTACTTATCTTTATTACTTGTTTATTTGAAAAGACTGTAACAACAGGAAAATGTTTTAAAGTTGTTTAAAAACTATTCCCCATTGTAATTCTTGAACACCACATTTTGTTTTTATATTTTCACAGTACAGTCCTTTGTACTATATTAAATAGTGGTATCATAGTACATATTCATGTTATCATAGATATTTTTCATAATTCCCTATAGTCTGTCACTTATTAAATGCATATTTATGTAAGTATGATTTTTAATGACTGCATCAAAATGTCCCTATAATTTTAAGCCATTCCCTAATTTGGGCTACTCAGGTTGTTTCCTGGTTTTTGCTCTTATAAGTTGTACTGCTGAGTGTCTTCTTTCATTTATATTTTTCTTTTGTTGGATTATTTCTTTAGGACAAATTTCTGAGTAGACCTATAAGAATAAAGACTATGAACATTTTTTAAGGCAACACTTTATATGTATTGCCATGTTATTTCCAAATTGTTATTAAAATATGTGTTGAACCAGCAGTGAATGAGGACTGTGAATGACCACCTTACCAGGACTGCAATTTTTCCTTTTCATTTAAAGAAAAAGAAATCTTCTTTAAATAGATTTAAAAATTCTGTCATGATTATATGATATTTCATGTCTGTAACTAGTGGCCAACCATTTTTCAGTATGATTAGGCTCAGTATGAATTATTCCAAAATATTTGGCCTCACTCTTCAACTGCTCTCTTAGGCACCTGGTCACTGGGTCAGGGATTGTGCTCACTCTTTCGTGACTCCACTGTCTGCAAGGTTAGACACCCCTCTCCCTTCCTCCTTATCTGAATGCTCATTCTTACTCAGGGACGGGTGCACTCAGCCAACCACTTGCTTTTCTTTCAAAATCCACCTTCCCTCCTGCTACTGAGCCATTCTCTATCTTTTTCTTTTGTGATCTCATTTTGACTATTTTAGTTCATTCAACTTTTATTTTTTTTTAAGATTTTATTTATTCACGAGAGAGAGAGAGGCAGAGACATAGGCAGAGGGAGAAGCAGGTCCATGCAGGAAGCCTGATGCGGACTCGATCCTGGACCCCGCGATCACGGCCTAAGCCAAAGGCAAGACGCTCAACCACTGAGCCACCCAGACGTCCCCATTCAGCTTTTAAACCATTTGAAGAGGCTCATACATCTGTATAGCTTCTGTTACACATTTATCCTTGTCTATTCATAAACAATGGTGGTAGGAGTAGCTAGGCAGAAATGGGTTCTCTTCTCTCTTACCTGTCTCAATGTTGAACCATCTGTGTTTCCAGAATCCACTACTAACCATTCCATGTTGTACTGTCACCCCTTTGTTACTGAAGACGTTCCTTCAGTCTGAGATTTTCTTTTACCTTTCTCCACATTTTGGATGCATGATTGTTTTCTTTTGCTAGCTCACAAATTAACCTCATACTTAATGAATTACAACAGCATAAATGTATGTCACATTTGCCTTGCACCAGAAGTCCAGGCGCAGATTGGCTGGGTCCCCAACTCAGGGTCTTCAAGGTGGATATCAAGATGTCAGCAAGGCTGCACGCTCTTCTGGAGTTCAGGGTCCTCTTCTAAGCTCATTCATGCTGTTGGGAGAATTCATTTCCTTAAGGTTGTAGGACTGAGGGTCTCATTTCTGGCTGACTGCCAGGCCTCCTCCAGCTTCTAGAGGCCTCCCTCAGGTCCTGGCCACAGGGCCCTCTCATTTCTGTAAGCTGGTTTGCTCAGAAGGTCCCACATATAAAGTAACCTAATCATGGGTAAAGCTCCATCCCGTTCCTGGGGTCCCTCGCATTCAAAGGGAGGGATCCACACAGGACACACATGTTAGGAATGAAATTTTGAGGCCATTGCAGCCTGTCCAGGATCCTACTCACCCTTAGTGTTCAGTTGAAATTATGTTCCTTTCATGAGCCCTTTCTGAAAGCTTTTCCAGTCATGTGAATTGCTCCCTTGCCTTCTTCACGCAGCACTTTTATGTCTTTGGTCTTACTCCTGTTTCAGATAAGCGAAATAAACCCTTCAAGTTCATGGCATTGCCATAATGTAAATAAATAACACATCTTCCCTTTGGAGTGAGTGGTAGTAAATGAGCATTTCATCTTGGCTTGCTTGTTCCCTATGTGTTACTGAGGTAGCTCTTATTAAGGATAAAGTTGTTTTAATGAAATGGAAGTTTCTTCCTGAATATTAATGTCCACTGTGACATGTTTCAAATATACCTGCCTGTCCAGTTAGGCCACCTAGGGATGGAGACGATCTTTTCTGTCTTCTTCTCTATAACCTGCACATTGTAGGCTAAATGTTTGAACCAGGGCAAAGAGGCAGGAGCCAGAGCTTAAAAGATCCTGGCATGTAATAAAACATGAAAGGCAATCCTAGAGTCAGCATGACTCCAGAGTGCTTTAGTGAGGGACATGAGTAAGGAATGTGGGAAGCATGAGAAACATAAGATGGGCCACCCTTGTGGATGTCTCCAAAACCCCTCTCCAGTGCCTCTAGCAGGCACTTAACAGTGGTACTGGTCACTTATCAGCAAGTAGTATTCACCTGTGAAGCCTTTATATTTTTTAAGTCAGTTGTTTTGTTTTCCTATCGTAGCTGGTGCTCAAGATCAAATTGGCTGGGCCTTTGGTCTAGGATTGGAAAGACTGGCCATGATCCTCTATGACATCCCTGACATCCGCCTCTTCTGGAGTGAGGATGAGCGTTTCCTGAAGCAGTTCCGCGTGTCAGATATCAACCAGAAGGTGAAATTTCAGGTAAAATGACTTGAAGATTCTAATAATAATAATAATAATAATAATAATAATAATAATAGTTTTTAAGAACTGAAGGGGTTATACACTTGAAAGGAAACTTGTGGAATTTAAAAATAATGTGTAAAAAAAATAATGTGTATTTTTTTAAAAAGTGGGGTTTTTTAAGATTTTTTTTATTCATGAAGCAGAGGGGAGGGGTAGCGGAAGTGGGGCTCTATCCCAGGACCCCAAGATCATGATCTGAGCTGAAGGCAGATGCTTAACCAACTGAGTCACCCAGGTGCCCCTTGGAAAGAAGTCTTAAGTAGAGGTCCATAATCACACAGGAGTTCATAAACTGTCAGAAATTGTATGCAAAAAATAAGAAATTTATCAAGCTTTTAGTCTGAGCAAAGAACTAACTTTGGGCTTTGTTAATGATCATTTTATCATTATGAAATAGCCATCTTAATCACCGATGATACTTTTAAAGTTTAGTTTTTCTGATACTAACGTAGTAGACACCTATGATTAGTGTTTGCAGTGCGTGTCCTTGTCCTCATTTTATTTTCACTCTAGGTCCTTATATTAAGTGTGCCTCTTGTAAACTGCATAGAGTTGGGTCTTTTTATTTAAGCTTGGATTTAATGGAGTGTTGAATACCTCTTACATTTACTGTAATTACATGGGAGATTCTTGGGCTTAATTCTGTCATGTTTTATTTTCCCCTTCTCTTTTTTCCTTCATTTGGAAACTAAGGTTTTGTGTTTTTTGGTTTGTTTGTTCTTTTCCTCCATTTTATTACCCTGATCATATCGATCTCACCATTTTGTATTTTTTTTAAAAAGATTTATTTATTATTTTAGAAAGAGAGCACAAGTGGGGGGAGGGGCCAAGAGAAAGGGAAAATCTCAAGCAGACTGGCCACTGAGCACGGAGCCCTACGCACAGCTCTGGCCTATCCTAGGACCCAGAGATCATGACCTGAGCCGAAATCAAGAGTCACTCAACCGACTGAACCATCCTGGCACTCTCCATTTTGTATTTTTAAGTGGCTATTCTAGATTACAGTGTGCATAATGAATCCATCACCCTTTACCATGGTAACTATTACACAACTTCATGAGACATTTAATTTTCTTCAATAGTGTAGATTGGCTTACTCTCCTTGAGTTTAATATTCTTATTTTATTTCTCCATGTATTATAATTCCACAGTCTATCACTCTGTTTGCTTCAAATGGCCAATTATTTTTTAAAGAGACTTAAAACTATTTTGTTTTATATCCACCTTGATATTACCCCACTGATCATCGTTCCTTTCTGCCAATCTTGGTTTTTATCTGGGATCACTTCCCTTTGGTCTGGAGAACTTCCTTTAGTATTTTCCTGTAATGTAGCACAAAAGTTCGCAGTTTACTTGTCTGGAAATGCCTTCGTTTCATCTGTACTTTTTAGGAGTATTTCCTACCAATATAGGTCTCTAGGTTACCAGTTTGTGTGCACACATGCATGTATGTGTGTGTGCATGTGGACATTGTGCACACAGGTATGGATGTGTAGGTGTGTGTGTGCCTGTGGGTGTGTGCCCACACATATGTGTGTTTGCGCAAGTGAGTGTGTGTTTTCCTTTCAGCTCTTGAAATATGTCATTTCGTTGTCTTTATCTTTGTACTGTGGTTTTCAGTGGTTTGACCTACGTGTGCTTTTCTGTCTTTTCCTGCTTGGGATCTCACTGGGTTGGATTAATGCCCTTTAACCATCCTTGGAACCCTGATATCTCTTCCATCAAGAATACTCTATTCTTTATTTTCTTTTCAGGCTGCAACTGCATGTATGTCAGACCATTTGAAGTTATGCCATAGTACTCTGATTCTCAGGGTGTGTTTTTTATTACTGATTTTTTTTTTCACTCAGTGAAAAAGTCTTTATTCTCTTATCTTTGGGTTTACTAACCTTTTCTATTTTGTCCATTTAATCATAAAGCCCCTCCAGTGAATTCATATTGTACTTATCAGTTCTACAATTTCTATTTGCTTCTCTTTTAGAGTTTTTATTACTCTGGTGAATTCTTCATCTTTTCACCTATTTTGTACATTTTCCCTTAAATTCTTTAGCGTCTTCTTAATAGTTATTTTTCAGTTCTGTTAATTCCAACCATTTTGTTACTATTGTTCTCCTTTTATTCTTTTTTTTTTCTTCTTTGTTATGGGTCACATTTTTCCTGCTTTTTCACTTATCTCACTTTTATATTGTGTATAAAAAGACAAAGATGCCAAAGTAGATAATAACTGTCCTCAGAAAGCCTTGCCCTTTCCCCTGTCAGGCAGGTAAGATGAAGATGACGAGGCAAGATATCTTTGTTCTAATCAGGAGTCAAATCACCATTTGATTTCCCCTTGATGGTGAGATCTGGCCCCAACAGCAGAGTTTGGGAACTGTGCATAGGAGATGAGATCTCTCTACTTTCCACCAGGTTGCCAGCTTCTTCTGCCACCGGTGCTTACCAGGCAAAAGTATTATGAAGGAGCATTGGCCAGCAATGAGGGCTAGCTGTTCCTCCACTATCCAGTCTGCCATACTAGTCGATGCTTGGCTGATCAAAGTTTGGCTCATGTCTCCTTATTCCAGCCAAGTTTCTTTTACCAAAAGCAGGCTAGCTTTTCTGCCTACTAATGCACCAGTGGTGAAGCACCCATAAATGTCTGTCCACCCCAGAAAGGGCTCATCCCCCTCTGGAATTCTGCTCGATTAGACTTGTGTCCAGATCTCCTCAATATTTTGCATGACAAATAAGATTTCTAAATTTATTGTTTTCTCATCGTTACAGTGGGACATTGGTTTTCTGTGACTTTTTGCATCTTAACCAAGGGTGGAAAAATCTCCTACAACCTATTCACATTTTTAGTTTGACTTTAAGTGGCTTTAAAAAAAAAATCTAATTTTTGTTTTTAAGTAAGCTGTTTATTTTTGCTCTAGCACCAGGTCCTTCTAGGTTAATTTAGAATAAAACTCTATCTAAATGATCAAAAGTAAAACCTGACTAAGAATCTAAGTTTTTCTCATTCACCTTTTCATTTTTTCAGTCATTTATTGAATTGGTAGACATTGATGGAACACCAGCCAACATTGTACAGAACAGGCACTCCGTGCTCGTGGAATATTCACAGATAACTAACACATTTGCTACCATGAGTTAGTGGCATAAGTCCAATCTTAAGTGCACTTTAACTGTCACCTCTTAGGAGACACAAAGATACCTAGAAAGAGACTATGGTTTTCTTGTATTACCTGTCATTTTTTGTCATTTCTTCTGCCTTCACATTTCAAAATCAATGTATGCATTCTTGCACTATAATATAATTTAAATGGCTGTCTTTGGGTAATAAACTTAAGGACGTCTGATGGAGCAGTTAGGATTTAATCACCAAAATAATGTCTGTCTATAAAATACTTTGTAAATTATAGATCACAGAGAGCTGTTTCCTAATTATGCACCTATAATTAGTATTTATTGATGATAATCTGGGTTAGTTCCCTATTGCTGGCATAACAAGTTACCACAAACCAAGCAGCTTAAAACAACATCGTTTATTATTTTATAGTTCCAGAGGTCAAAATCAGTCTGATTAGGCTAAAGCAAAGGTGTTAGTGGGGCAGATTCCTTCCAGTAGCTCAAGGGGAGAATCCGTTTCCTTACCTGTGAGAGCTTGTAGGGCTGTTCTCATTCTTGGATCATGGCTTCCTCTCACACTGCATTTTTCTCTCTCCTTCCCTTTGTGGTCAAATCGTCTTTTCTGAATTTTTGTTTGCTTTGCAAGAAAAGGACCCTTGTGATTACATGGAACCTACCAAGATGATTCAAGGTAACCTCCACATCCCAAGATCCTTTCTTAATCACATCTGTAAAGTTCTTTTTGAATGTAAGGTAACCTGTTCACAGCTTCCAGGGATTAGGACATGGGCATCTTGGGGACTGGGGGGAGGGCATTATTCACTTATCACAGATTCCTTTAGATACCCTATTTTTATCATGATGGGTATAATAGAGCAGATTTTGTGGGTTAGGTATAAGTAATGCAGACAGTACTAGAGTGTTAGCAGTTTTAACCTATTGGACTGAAATGGTTCTCATTATATATATGAGGGAAATGAGACTCATTTTGTCACTTAATGTTGCTGGTCTATCTTAAGACGAATGTTTAACATGATAATAATATGATGCAAGACTCCCCGCCAGAGGGGAAGGTAGGAAATGTAGGGGAATAGGTCTGCTGGCAGCTGTGAGTTTATGGCTTCTCTGGCTAGGAAACTCTGGGAGTCCCTTGGGAATTGTAGGGCTGGCAGGAAGCAGAAATTTCTTTTCTTTCATCTCCTATCAGACCATCTAAGATTATGTTTTAGGCTCTCGGCCTCTCTGGCATCTTCCTCTGCACAGTCTCCATAGTCTTATAAATCCATCTATCCGTCTCACTATGCTGGCTCCCTTCTAGGGTCTAGCAACAGTCTGATTTGTATCACCCCAAGGCTCCATCTATGCCACTCTTCCCTGAATACCTTCAAACCATTGCTTGCATCTAGTAAGTAGGAAACTCAGGTTATAAGGTGATTCTGATTTTTGGTTTCTATTTTACATGGTTTGAATTAAGTGCTTTCTTTGTTGTGGCTCTCTTTACCCGACCTCGATCAGTGCTCGAAATACATGGATGAACAAGCTGTTGGATGAACGATATCTTGCTCTGCATAAGAGATCTTTGTCCCCCACTCTGTATCCCCTGACTGGGCTTATTCTGGCGTTTGGGCGCTTGTTGTGTGTCTATCTGCCAACCCCCCTGGGTAGGATGTCACTGTTTCAGGACATTGAGTTGAATATTCAACAATGCAAGCTGTGTTCATCTCTGAAGAATTCTTTAAACAGTCCTAAATTGTGAATTCAGTATTTAGTCCTATAGAGAGTAATTCTTGTTATTGAAAATCATTCATTAATCAGTATTATAAATTTTATTCACATATTTTACTTAA